TTTTTTTCCTCTCTGGGTAGCTTAGACTTTCACACTTTCCATTGACACCTTGTTTTCCTACAAATTGTCAAACTGAATCAATATTTTCTTTCCATTTTATTTCTTCCTTCAGCAAGGAAGTAGCTTAAATTTATATGTTTGTAACATGCTAAACTGGAACTCCTTATCTTTGAGGCAATGTGCTATTAAGATCTAATGCAACCAAAAGATAACATTACTATTCTGCACTAATCTTTTTCCTTGTTTATTTTCACCATGAATTCAACAATAAAAAGCAAAGCCTTGACTCCCATGCTTTTTAACAGGAATTAATAGAGAAAAGTGATTAGTTCAGCTAGCAGGGAAAGAAGCAGAGACGTGCAAGTAACATTCTTTCCTAGTTTTCCCAGTGAATTTTATACAGTATCAAGATTTCAAGCGACAAAGACATTTTTCCTATACCAGTTTTCGTGTTTCATAACTTCAAAAACTGAAATGGAAATGAATGAGGAGAACCTGTCCAGATTGGCAATCCCACACTCTTACTATCTTGTCCGTACTCCCTGAATAAAGCTTATCCGAGCCTGATGGCAAAGCAATCCCTGTAACGACCTGTTTGCAAAAACCATTTAATTGGTATCTGCACAACTCACTCTCATTTATGTGAATCAGTTCAAAGCCGTAAAACTTGAATATATTTCTAGTTATTCTCCTCTCTCACACACACACAGAAACACAAAAGAAATTCACTTCTGGAACTGCAAGTAACATGATAGTCAACTGGACGCCAAGTTACTCCCTTCGTTCCAATGCATCTGCTATGAGAACCAACAATAAAGCTGATTAATTTGTAAAAAAGTGGATGCTTATCACACTAACTATATTTCAAACCTAAAAATTAGTAGACCGATTACCAGTACACTGAAACATCCATAAGTTTATTTAATCCAATTACATTTGATGAAATTTCACAATGTCCGGTTGATGAATTAGCATATTAAAACCAAATTCGTATATGAAATTCATTGCCTCTTCAAAAATGCGATGTAAGAAGTCTGTTAATCCATATTATGGCAAATCATGACATATCTATATTTGTAATATTTTTAAAAAAGTTAATTTATATACAGAATAGAGAAATAGAGAAATATATAAGAAAAGAGCAGAAAAGTAAAGCGTACCTATTACATGCTTCAGATATGTTGTCAACATCTATTGTCGCACTTGGTTAATGAATCTCAGTAACAAAAGTTGTACTTAAAGCTCAAAAAAGATATTGATTATCTTTCGAGTGTCAGACTAAATTTCGAAAAACTTCTTTAAATACAACATTTGTAGCTTCAGTAGTTATATTCCCATCGTCATCACAAACCAATATTTTTAATCCCTTTCTACTCGTCACTCGAGAAAGAGCAACATATAGCTGTCCATGTGTAAAAACTGTTTTTTTAAAAAATAATCCCACATGAGACAATGACTGTCCTTGGCTTTGTTGATTGTCATGGCAAAAAATACAATGATTGGAAATTGTCTTCGCTGGAACTTGAATGGAATTCTAGCATCAGATGGCGTCGATGTCATTCTTGGAATAAACATTTTCTGTCCAACCATCTGTCCCGCTAAAACCTTTGCTTCAATAACTTGATTTCCAAGTTTAGTTATGATCAACCTTGTTCCATTACATAATCCTGCTGACTGATCAATATTTCTTAATAACATTACTGGAATACCAACCTTTAGCGTAAGAGCATGATTTGGAACTCCAGAACATTTAATTGTATTTAAGAATTCAGGAGTGTGTACATGTTCCAGTGCTGAATAAGTACTGTTAGAGTTCCAGATTGTATCGGAACTCAAATATGATTTCTCAGAACTTTCATTAAGGGAAATCATATATTCGTTGATTGATTCCACCATATCAAGAGTTGGAGTAAGAATGGCTCTTTGTTGTAGGTATCCTATATCATTGCAACGACTGTTGAAATTCGGATACGTACTTTCTACAATTGCAGATGTTGGATCAACGGATTGTTTTATCAAAAGATCATCTGGTATTTGGACTTTTTCATTGCCATCAACAGAAGTACCAACTATACCATCGCCAATTGCCAAAATCCAATCTGAAAAAACTCTCAACTCATCTAGATGTGTCCCTATTTCATTACCTTGCAATCTCATGTTCTTTGTTAACTTTAACAGTTGACAGTGAGGCCACAAATAAGAAGAATTGAGAGAAGCATTAACAATATCTTGCCTACTACCTTTTGGAATAACAGGTAATATTTGTCTGAAGTCACCACCAAGAATAATTGTTTTACCTCCAAATGGTCGGTGTAAATTGGACGCATCTTTAAACCTAAGAATATCTCTTAAAGTTTTATCAAGAGCTTCAAAACAATATCTATGCATCATGGGTGCCTCATCCCAGATAATCAACTTTGCCTTAATAATTAAATTTGCTATAGGAGTACCTTGCTTTATATTATATGTTGAATCTTCAGTTACATTTAGAGGAATCACAAATCTTGAATGAGTTGTTCGACCACTTGGTAACAACAAAGATCCAATCCCGCTAGATGCAACAGTTAAGACAATATTTCCTCTAGATCTTATGGCAGAAGATAGAGTTCTCCAAATAAAAGTCTTGCCCGTTCCTCCAAAACTATATAAAAAGAAAAACCCACCTTTGTCTTCATTCACATCTCTTATTATTTTTTCATAAACTGACTTTTGCTCATCTGTCAAATTCTTTACTAATTGTTGATGTTCCTCTGCCAAAGCGCGTTTATTATAACGCAATTTATCCCGTATTAATCTATTATTGTTATCAACTTCTTCTATATTATAAACAGGCATTGGCATTGTTGGAAAATCCAGAAAACTTCTTCCACAACCTTTCAAAAAAGTTTCAAGCTTTTGCAAACAACGATTTTTCAATTCTTCATCTGTTAGGTGAGCTTCTGAAATAACATTAGAATGTAAAATAATTAAATACAATTAAACCGTATTATAAACAGGCCTTGACATTGTTGGAAAATCCAGAAAAATTCTTCGACAACCTTTCAAAAAAGTTTCAAGCTTTTGCAAACAACGATTTTTCAATTCTTCATCTGTTAGATAAGCTTCTGAAATAACATTATAATGTAAAATAATTAAATACAATTAAATGGTAAAGTTTACT